ACGACGCTGAATATTTGCACTCTTTGCGTGTATAATCCTGTTCTTCTCAAAAAAATATATTTGGGAGGTTCTTTTGATAAAAATGAAACCTTAGCCTGTAGAAGACTAATTTTTTGGAAGGTTTTTGGTGCTAAGGTACCCGAGTCAGCTGAAGCTAGGAACATGAAAGAATAACCTAAGCCTTGCACATGGAGGAATGCTGGCTGTCCCTCAGATGAGGCACTATTGGGAGCAGCCTCCAAGAAGGATAAGAGCTGATTACCTGGAGGAGGAAAATACAGTGGTGTCCAGACTGTGGGAAAACAGGAGGGAGGGAACCACGTGTGTCTTGAGAATTTATTCTTACTGCAGTAAAATAGTAACCCTGCAAACAGAAAAAGGCAATAACGAGTTTTACCAATGTTATGGTCTATAGCCATTTCATAATGATATTAAGAAATGTAAAACTTATTTTTAAACTAAATTTGGTTTTATTCAAGGCCTTTGGAAGCCCATAGATGTCAAGATGTTATTGTTTACTAAGGAATTAGAGTTCGCTAAACCATACATAGAATGGGGGTGAGAGAGTGCTATAGGCAAAGATCAATATAACTCTGGTGAAAGTGAATGGAAAAATAATTGGTATGACATAAAATACATGGACCCCTTTAAGCACTACTGAACAGGACAAGAACAATAAAAGCAGTTCTGTAGAAGCTGTTCAACTCAAAACAGGGATGTATCGTCAAAGTTCAAATTGTCGGTGGCTTTTCTTAGCCTTATTAAAGTTCATAAACCATCCCTGGGTTGCAATGAAGAACAACAGTTGCCAGAAAACACTGTGGCACCGATGATTCTGGTATATTTACCTTAAATCCGCTTCACTTGTAATACAAGGGCAGAGACGCTATGGAAGCCAACTGTGTTTCCGCTACATCCCTGTTTGCTGACACTGTGATCAATCAGTACAGGCAGCACAACTCAGCTGATATCATTGCATTATTTTTTCCGGGAAGCTTCCTGTTTTAGCAAGAAAATTGGGGGTGGAGGGTGGGGGAGGGAGCATGTTGAAGGCATTTCTGCTACCACCTGTTTCTGTCTTGCCCTGGCGATAACACAGCAAGAGCTGATCCCAGACACGTGAGGAGTGTGATTTTTTTAACAGATGTTTTTTCAGACATTAAGGTCGTATTAACAGTCTACAAGGTAGTGCTGTGCAGAGATAGCTGAACTAGCTCCAGCTGAGACAGCTTCAAAATCACATCAGTGCAGTACTGTGCCAGGACTAATTAGTTCAGAGGTAGCACTATGTTGACACAGTTAGATTGCTCTGGGACCCTAAGTAATATCCTGATAGGTACTCCATGGAGACATACCCGCTTGTTTAGTCAGCTTAGTTATGTGGATTACCACAATGCAATGCACAACTCTGACGTGTCTTAAGAGGCCTAATATATTGTTACCTTCTGTAATACTCACAGCCACTGGCAACTGTCTCATTTGTAGTAATTTTATACTTCAGGTCACAAAAATATACCTTAATTTCATTTTACGTTTCCTAAGGAATACTTACTAGAATCCTGACATTCAACAGAAAGTATCCATTTGCCATATATACAAATGTTACTGTCAGTGCTCATTTTTTGCTGGTTTTGCCTTCATATATTCATAGAAAAGTGTCCTCTGCGCTTACAGCTCCATGCCGTTTATACGCCTCATTTTTATATGCTTACAAATTTAGATTGTAATTTTTCTTTCACGTTCCTACCTTCAACAGTTCATTGGTTTAATTCATTAGTCTTCCAAACCTGCATCAAAAATTAGTGATTCATTTCTATTTAAAAGGATCTTAGTAATATTCCATATTTTTGAGATGGGAAGAGAAAAAGATAGGCTTGAAGTATTAAGCTAATTAATTGGCTTACTTTGGGGGGGGGGTGCGTGTGCAATGCCTGATGGTGTTGACAAATTAGTGTCCCTAGGCCATAGTGAGAGCAAAGGCAAGAAGAGTCCTCCCAGTCTCCTACAGAGGTGTGGTCAGCTACAGGCGAAGCAGAGGCAGAGGAGCAATGGGAGTGAGGTTGTCACCATTTTGGAGCTGAAAGAAGTATGTCACCTTTAGGAGCTGAAGTAGGCCAGGAGGACTGGTCTGGGTACATACAGAATCTCTGTATCTCCCCTTGGATCAATGTATTGGACTCTCCTACTGTCTCCTGTAATGCCCTCACAAGCATGACTTCTACCAATTTCTGGGTGCACTGCACTGAAAATATAGTGTTATTAATTGCCAGTGGGGTCTATATATCTGGGTCTTTATGATTCTGCAAAACCAATTGCCACCGTTGCCACGAATGCAGCCTTCACTCCTTCCACATTCTGCCTGTGGACTTCCTACCAAATTGGTGTCGATGGTCTCTCTGAGCATGTCTGCCAGAATTTTAACCCATTAAATGTGTGCTAGCCCCATATGCTGTGGAGGTTGTCATCCCAACATGGTTACCTTTATGCTTGGTTTCTGCTTAGCAGATATGCGTTCCCTAAATCTTAAGTGGCTGGTCTTGAGCTTATTACTCCATGCCAACAATGTAGACTTGTGATGTCTTAGAGCGTATGCACTTAAAATGCAATGTGTGGTTATCTCCCTCCTTTTGCTTACTTTAAAATTGGGCTGATCTCTAAAAGATTATTATGAAGTTTATACTAATTTCATCCATAAAGCTAAAATATGTATAAATAATCTCATACATGCCTTTTAGTAGCTTGAGTATTTTTACCCATGTATTTAAAGAAGGGCAAGAGCGCAATGCTTTGGATGCTCTTTTAATCTAAATCGGGTTATTTTATTGACAACAAACTCAGAATCTAAAGATGTATATAAATTCAAAGTCACTTTTCTTCATCCTTTTCTTCCCTGGTAGAGGGTTAAATATCAGAACATGTTAAAAGGTGTTTAATGGCTGAGTGCCTTGACCTTGTCTGGGACAGAAGCCAGTCCAGGACATGTGTTGGCTAGAGCTATGCACAATGAACATCTATAATCAGCTTGGCACTCCTGTTAATACGGCAGGTGTTTGTGTCTACCACCGTGGAAAGTGCCAGACCACACAATGATGGCTAGTGAGTAATGTGCTGCTGTAAATCTTTCTTTCACTGTGCAGTTTTCTCTTTTAATTTACTATATTATTCAGAAAACATCAAAGTCTTTTTATAGGTATTTTATTATATTTTAGCATGAAAACCCCATCATTTGTTTGTGCGTGTCTTTAAAATGAGTAGTCTTAATACAGTTGAGGATTTAATGCTTTAAATATTGGCAGTGGATTCATGGGAGCATGAAATGACTTATAAGGAAAGTAAATCAATCATTTAGAAATTCTCACTGTAAATCAGACTAAAGAAATTAAATCCTGTAGATAAATGTTTTGACTCACAGTGTCTTCCCTCAAGGAGGAATAGGGTGAAAATGTTTGTCTAGCAAATTGTGGCTTTTCTTGCGGTTACCCTAAATCAAATTCACATGTTTGCTCTGTTCAGTACTCTATTTCCTTCCTGTACCTACACAGGGACTTCACTCGGCATGCCTGGAGCAAATTAAAACATAAGCACTTGCACAGGATTACTATGACAATGCTTATGAGTAGGAAAGATTTGGAATTGATTTGCCTGAGGGTGGAATATTGTTCTCTAGTTAACTGAGGGACAAATTTTTATTTAACTTGATTGGATAGTAACCTTCAATTTGGCAAAGTGACTTAAAGCTTTAAATTACCAACAAGTGCTGAATGGATTAACTCTTGTTGATGTGAATACCAAAAGCTAATCTAATGGGTGACACCTCTTCAACCCTCTTACATACTGACATCTTACTTAAAAAGAGGGATATAACTGTTCAAGAGTAAAGACAAATGAAATTTAGAATAGTTGCAGTGCCAGTATGGCACGGATGAGTACACAGGAATGAAAATCAGGAAAATTCACTTAAGCAGCACTGAGAAAATCAGTTGGAACTTAAAATCAACTCTTATACAAAAATAGGAACATAAATTAATACTATCACTTGCTACATACCAAGAAAAGTGAATGGATAAGAAGTATTTGCATTTTTTCATAATTTATCTTTTATGTTTTTGAAAAGATAATGTACAAAGAGTGAAAAGGAATGAAAATTAACCATCCATTTTAATTATTATGTGGATTATTTAAGACTGTTAATGCATTTCAGTTGGCGCAGTATTCTATCAAGCTTCAGCAAAATTGCCAAATTGTTAAATTATCCTTAATATACAGAATCTCAGTATCTAGGTTAGAATTTTATTAGTGTGATGATGGTAGGGTATGATCTTACATGTTCAGGATAGGTCTTAACTTCTGAGCTTGTCCCACTGACCTCTGTTCTTGAGCCTGTTGCTATCTGTCCTCTGTCAGCTGTAAGGCAGCTTAGACTAAGATCAAATGGTTCTGTTTTGGGACACTGCCAGGCACACTGTAGGTAACATTACAGTACAAAATAAAACAGAATAATCTCTTCTTTGCTACATTTTGGACTACCTGAATGGGTATTTTCTGCAAGGATTCCTGAAGATTCTTTCTTAGACAGAATCACACTCTGCTAAAAGCTATAGAAAACATTATTGTCACTGAAAAAAATGCTCGTTTTGTTAAGTGAAAGGGATTGATTTTAGAGGCACTGCAGAGAAAATAGAAAAGGAGCATGGAGGGAATGTGAAAAGGAAAGCTGAGAATGCAGAGGGGGATGATGGACAGATGTTCTTGAGTAATGTGCTGAAACAACAGGAGACATTACTGGGAGAATTGTGCCGAACATGAGGAGAGCTCTGATTGTAATCAAGTGGTCGAGGACACCATTGAGGGCACAGGGCATGAATCCATAGGAAAACAGGCTTCCTTAGTTCTAATATTCACAAATACTTCCCCCGCCTAAGATGACAGGATTCCAATGCAAGTTTGTTTTATTGGGTTGATTTTTGTTTGTTTATTACTGCATAGGTCTTTTGCAATATGGAAACTGCTGGAGGAGGATGGACGGTTATACAGCATCGAGAAGATGGGAGTCTGGATTTTCAAAAAAGCTGGAAAGAATACAAAATGGTAAGGTGAAAAATAGGAATAGCTGTACAGTTCATAGAAGTGTTAGATTTCAAATAGTACTCCCTATTATCTTAAGCAGATAGTTCTGCCTATAGTGATGTGGTGTGGTCCCGCGGTCTTTTATGAGCTACCTTTTGTCATGCCTGTTACTTTGAAAATCATAATATTCTTTTTACTCAATCAGTTGAGTATTATTTCCCATGACTTAGAGTTTCTTTCAGATCAGTTACTGAGGTTAAAATGAGGTTGGGCCAAGGCACATGCACTAAAGAATGTTGCTGTCTGTCCCTCTGAAGTTTTGACTTGCTGTGGTGTTAAGGGTTAATAGGCATGTGATGATGTTCCTATTGCATGGATGTTTTCAGCTGAGAGGAACTCCTTCACAACTTGGAGCATCTCAAAAAGTTTTACTGGGGTTTATCCCAAGCCATACAGCACCTCTGCCAATCAAGCCAATGTACTGGAAATGTTGATACTTCAAATAGGATTAAGAGAAAATAAATAACTTACCAAATTACAGATGATATGACTTTCACAGGCTATTTTCCCTCTGCCAACTCAAAAAAAATTTACTCCAATCTAAATAACTTCTGAGTTTTTTCATTCACTGCCTGATCAAACTTTCTGATGGAGCTTCTTTCTCTGAGTCCCTGAGGACTGGTTTGGATTTCATTGACATTTCCAGTGAAATTTTCAGAACTATGTTATCAGCCTGGAAGAGGAAAAACTTTCTTCCAGCAGTTTTCAAAAAGCACTAAATAAAGATAGCATTTAAAATGTTTTTTTAAAAAAAAGCTAGTTCAGTTCAGTAAAAATTTCTATGGGAAAAAGTTCTGTTACAGAACTTACCATTTCAGAAATAAATGTAATATAAGATTATTGAACCTAAAGGCCATTTTGGATTTTATGGATGCTTTCTTTTCAATATTTTTATATTACTTGAAAATATAATTTGTAGGGGTCAAAACTAATCATTTGGGTCAGACTTCTGCTACTATGGATAACCACAGGATCTAATCTGTTTCATAATATATGAGAAGCAAAAATAATATTGAAATGAAAAATAGGTATTTTTAATGGATTTTCAAAATTGGAAACTTTTTTTAGATTTCCTAAAGTTTTAATTTAGCAGGAAACTTGAAAACTCTTTTGCTCTATTTTGGTTTTATATAAAATATATAAAATAAAATAGAAAACATCAATTCATTTTGAGGAAACCAAAAGTTGAAGATTCTACCCGTTCTACTTACAAGGAAATTAGAATTTATATATGCAACATACTCATTCTCTACATATGGGCTGTTTTAATTTATCCGTACCATACCAATTACTGAGATTTACTCAGTTTTTCTCTCCTGTGCTTTTTCTTAGACCATTTAATAAAAATAGCTCTTCTTTTCAAAGTGTTCCCATGTGATCTGTTTTCATATATATCCCTTTGCTTAGTCAAACATTTTTCTCAGATTTTCCTTTACAACGATGTGAGCCTGTTAAGGATTAGATTATGTTGGTTTTGTCTAGTTCAAGCAGTCTGAATTAATTTTGCTTCTCTTTAGGAATGCTATAGTCTTCTAAGAGGCCATTTACTTCTGCCAAATAAAAAGGATCTGTTTTGGACTTTTACTGATAGCTATCCTATAAGTAAGTCATGAGAAAACATGGTATTTAGGTTTGTCTTTACTTCTGTGAACCGTTTCACTGAAGTAACTATCGTAAGCTCCCTTCTGCGATTACCTTACATCACCAAATGTTGGATGATAGAGTCTGATGGATGCTCTGTGAATTACTGGAATGCGTGACAGCTTCTGAGCTTCAAGACAAGGACACCACTAACTTAATTCTCTCATTGTTCTGTGTGGGTGACCAGTGTCTATTGGATCACATCCCCTCTCCTTCCTGACACATCTAGTTGGTATGGTGGGGGACACAATGGTATTTGGTCTTACTTGGAGTGGTTGAACTTAAAACGTGTTCTCTCGGCTGTTCAGATACAGCTTTCCAGATTTGCTAAGACATTCTTGTTGTGCTTGTATTTCACTAGGGCCCCAAATCTAACAGAACTAATCAATATCATAATAATATCATAGCAGTAATAATAAATCTCTGGGGCTTCTTTTAGTTTCAGTGCATTTAGTTCTTATTGGAAAAGAACCTGGAAAACTGTTTAAGTTATTCAGTTATAAGCAAGTACTGACTGCCAGCTTCTGAGCCGGACAGGGACTCAGGCCACCAACCTGCAGTACCACTGGTGCCCTCACAAGTTATTGGCTGTTCCAGTTTTATGAGGCCACTGCACATTTTCTCTGTCTCTAAGCTGCAATCCTTACAGCAGGTAGCTCGGAAAGGATGCACATGGAGTATTCTCTGCAAAGCAGAGTGACAGCACTGCTGCGTTACAGGAGACTCCTGGCACCAACTCACCCTGCAGACAAAACTTGAAACAATCTTTGTCTTTGATTCAGTTTCGTGTTGATGTCTTCAGCTTACATGGAAGTACTTCAATTCCTGTTCTATATATTTTCCAGACACCAACACAGGAAACAGGTTAAGAGGGAGATAAAGTAGCCATAAATCTTTTGAAAGTAAGAAATATACAATTCCATCCATACATAAATTACCGCAAAGTCAGTGATACTACAGTAATAGTGGCCCTAACTTTTTCTCCTTGTTCTTTTCACTCCATTTCCATTAACGTGCAGTCTCCACTCTGAAAAATAAAGTTACTCTTTCTTTGGTATTTAAACCAATAGGTAATGAATACAAAACCTTTTATGTGGATTTATTGTTATGCAAGATTGATTATGCCATCTTCTTCCTTAGTGGCACATGTGCTTACCAGTATCGTTCAGTTTTGTTATTGGTCTCATCCTATGCAGTGTAGTTTGTGCCTTTGCTTCTAAGAACTCCTTTCTGACTACGAAATCTCTTGGGCCATTTTGGTTTTGTACACTCAATATTGATTGGAAGACATTCAGAGGAAATCCCGTGAGTCTATCCCCCCATCTTTTTCTTGTTACTATCTACTATATCCACTCTTTCACATTTTGCCATGGATTTTCCATTATACTATTTGTTGCTTATCAGAAAAAATCTGAAGTGAAGCAATTTAGTAAGTAAATAATTTCTTTAACAACAGCTAAGATCACCCTGAAGCAGGTTTCAACTGTTTTTCACATTGCCTTGCCTGAGGAGGGAATGTAAAACACTATTAGATTTTTGGCCTCTAGGAGGAGAATATGATTTTTAAAACTATTGCTTACCATCTGCAAACCTGAGCCACTTTTAGAAGGGGGGTTTCTACAAGCTTACTCTCTAAGACACAGTTTCTGGCATTTATTAGGCAGTCATTAGCAATAATGAAATCCAAGCAAATTATTAGCTCATGTGCTAACTTGGCTATCAACATTTTTTGCTCAAATTCCAGTTTTTCATTTCTTGGACAAATGCACCTTTCCCAGTCACTGTCTCCATTTTTGCCAAATTAGGTGATGGAGTATTGGATTCCCTATTCTCTAGCCTTTTAGCATGTCTAGTTTAATAATTCCCATGAATTTCACAGAAGTTATTCCACACTCAACAACCCAACATTCACTATCAGTTTCCTAAGGGGGCTTCTTGGGGGTCAAGTCTACTGAGGGCTTCCTCAGACCTTTAAAATTATTTTCTTGCTTTCTGTCATTGCAGAAAGACTCTTAATAGGTATTTCAAATTACGTGCCTTGGCCAGCCCACAACAATCCTTTTCCTAGCCATTTTTTTTGTTCCCTGCATGCCAGTATTTAATTGTACTGCATGCCTTTATTGCTACAGTATAGTTATTTTCCTCTTTCTGATGAAAGAAAGCTATCACTTTTTAAATCATTCATAATGTCATGAGCTAGATTAGGATCACTTGTACATTTAAGACTCACATCTGAATTTCTAAGCTTCATGGCAACCACCTCCTGTCTTCCTGACCAGCAGCTCGATTTTTTTTTGGTTCTTTGAGGCAAGAATGAAGTTTAGTGGTAAATTCCACACCCCGTTAATCTCATGTTCCTGATTAACATCTAAGAGTCCAACACCAGTTCAGTGCTTAAAAGAAGTTTGCTGCTGACTTATCTCACAAGTCATCACCAGCATTTGTGTGTGCCTGAAAAGCACATCTACTGAACCATTTCCATTTCTGTTGGGGTTTCTTCTTTTTCTTCTCTCCTTAAAGCTGTTGGGTCAAATTGATGGCTAGCTCTGTAGTGCCAACATGATATGATGGCAAAGCAGGATAATTTATGCTCTTCTGTGGCTCAAGTTCTGCAGCACACTGAGAGCTGGACCACAGAGATAGTTACTAGAACTTTCTCAGGAAGTATTTCTGGATCCAGTTCTAGTGGGCATTTACATTACGTTATCTGGAATAATCTGACTTTCCTCTGAGCCTCAGTTAATTATAACTAGTATAACATCTGTTGATTCATGTCTTCTGTTTACCTAAAAGACATCTGAACACCTCTTCGGATTGTAAGTCTCTCATTTCCTTCCAGGCATGATGGTTTTTACCCTTTTTGATGTACTTCCTACAGTTCATACCTGTGACTAAGCTCTAGTGTGATCATAGGTCCCACCCATCTCCTGGAATCATAGAATCATAGAATGGTTTAGGTTGGAAAGGACCTTGAAGATCATCAAGTTCCAACCTTCCTGCCATGGGCAGGGACACCTTCCACTAGACCAGGTTGCCCAAGGCCATGTCCAGCCTGGCCTTGAACACCTCCAGGGATGGGGACTCAACAACCTCTCTGGGCAACCTGTTCCAGTGCCTTACAACCCTCAAAGTGAAAAACTTCTTCCTAAGTTTAATCTAAACCTGCCCTCTTCCAGTTTAAAGCCATTCTCCCTCGTCCTATCACTACATGCCCTAGTAAAAAGTCCTTCCCCAGCTCTCCTGTAGGCCCCCTTTAGGTACTGGAAGGCGGCAATAAGATCTCCCCGGAGCCTTCTCTTCTCCAGGCTGAACAGCCCCAG